AAATGATCAGCTCATCATCAAGCTCTGCAGAAGCCTGATAACGATCCTGATCATTTGAATCAGGTGTGTTGGAAGAGGGACACATCTAAAACATGCAGGATTGTGGCCCTAAAGGACCAGGATTCGACACCCGTGCTATAGATGGTTTACTGCCTACACTTTTATTTTGTCTTCATACTTGTCTCCCATCTGCTCTGGTTAAACATCTGCTCTGAGTCTTTGGTTCAGACCAGTTCAACAGAAACATCCCAGAATTTTTTTCCATGTCACTGTTGGTCACAGCTGAGTCACGAAAGGTTTCAGAGGCAGAATGTTTTGTTCTTTTACAGAATCTGGTTAGTGTAAACAAATTTTTTTCAAACCTTAAAATGAGACATGAAGATTAAAGTGATTTTGATTAAATATCACAACTTGATTAATTTTCCTAATGGAATTACACATCGCTCACTTTTTGTCCAAGGACCTTCAGAAATCTGAAAAACACACAATTCTGTCTATTTTTACCGTCTCTGGCTCAAATAAATTGTGCCTTTTAAAAAAAATTGATTTATTTTTTTTTAAACTTGGCTTTCAAGCTGGTGGCAGGTTTTGGAATTCAGAGGGTGAAGTAATTTTGGGTAAGCTGACATCTGTAACTGTCTGCATGTTGTGCCCTTAGAAATGTTAAGATGTCAACAGTGAAGTAAGTGTGGAAGATGGATTTAGAATTGCAGTTCATTTGAATCAGGAGATCAAATGACATTCAGACTAAATGTAATAAGGTTGCCTGGTTGAAACCTGTTTTGCTCCTTTTCATACATATTAGACAACAAAAATCACTAAAATGTGGCTGCATTGTAAACTAGAACTTTTCCCTGTCAACTGAGTGAGGCTCCAGTGAAATACAAACTTTAACTGTCCGTGTTGTGATTAACAGACCTACTGTCCAGTCCACAGAGGTGCTCTGTATAGATCAATGAAACACTCTTACTTCTCACTGTGAGGCACTTTCAGAAGCAGGTGCACTGAGCTCATTGCACATAAAAAAACAAATGAATGCCACACACAGTTTCGCAGGTAAAAAAAAAAAAAAACTTACAAAAGTCATTTTCACTTAAAGACGGAACATTCCCACCGAATTTAGAAAATGTTCTCAAAATGAAGCAGCTCAGCCTCAGGGGTTTATCCATTACACAACATTGCTCTCATAAATGTTTGTTATTTAAAACCTCAACTGCCACCTGGAACTTTTCAGGAATTATGGAAACAACTTTCAAGATCGATTTTCCAAATGGTTTAATGGACCCCTGGGCTATGGATCATATTTGTTCCATTTAGAATTACGATAAGAAAAATAAGAAAAAGAATTCATTACTGGCCCAACATGGTTGTACAGTTAGACAGCAGTAGGTGTTTGTCTGACCCGACGGCTAAATGCAATCAGCTTATGAATACACAAATGGGGTGACTTTCAAAGTCACACACAAACACATGGCATGAAAATAAGACAACTGCATATTAAAAACACCTTGAGCAACTGCTAATGTCACAGACTATTACGGGTAACACTCTCATTTATTAGTGCGTGTGTGCTTCAAAAATAGCCAATAGTTAAATGCTCTTAGCATATCAGGAATATGATCACCAGGGACCCAGTATCATGAGGAATATAATGTTCCTAATGTTCCATATACAGTAGGCCTATTCTTAATGAAAATTCAATAATGAAAAAAAAAAAAAGATTGTATGTGTGTGTGTCTCTATGCATGCATGAGCGTCCATATGCTTGTGTCTGCATATCTGCTTCAGTGTGGGGGTGCATGAGGGTGTGTGTGTGTACGAAGAAGAAACACTTCTGCAAACAGTCCAAATCTATTTATATGCAAATTGGATTTTGGTTAAACGGTTTGGGGTGCCGCATGGGTTGAGTCCCTTGGTGAAATGGGGCTAGTCATAAATTATCCAAGTAAGTCATGAATCTATCAATTTTGAAACAACATTTTTCAATGGGAGTGTAACTGAGGTAAATATTAGCTCAGAGCCCCACAGAGATGGAGCTAATTGGACCGCATGATGAAGAAAAGGGGGAATTGTACACTTTCCAAATGCTCAACACCCAAAGGAAAGGAAGGACGGGCGAACTCATCGACAGATTAGTTTCTCTTTATGTGATGCTGTTCGGAGTGTGTGTGTGTGTGTGTGTGTGTGTGTGTGTGTGTGTGTGTGTGTGTTTGAGTGTGCGTGACACCTGGTACGCTGGGGTCACATCGCAGGAAGAAATTATCTCGCGGTGCGGCAGAGAGGAAGCAGCTCTGACGTTTCTTAGCTCCTTCACTTCGGGGTTCTGAGTAAAAGTGGCCATTAACCTTCTCAAATGTCTGACTCACATTGTAACTGTTGGGTGGAGGGGAGTCCTACAGAGAGAGCAGAGCAGAGCAGAGCAGAGGAGTGCTTCAGTTTACATGGCAATATGTACAAAACAAGACGAGTCCACCAACACCGCCAGCGGCACTGTGAGTTTATACTTAAGCATAGCGTGCTTTGAGCCAAATGTTGACTCAAGGATGCTAAATATAGTAGGATTTACTAATTAGCACTGAAGACAATGGGAGTGGTAATGGTTTAGCAGGGAAGCTACAGCATTGCAATAAATCCCATTTTGACACAGGGAGAGAAGTCAGAGGACGACACAAGTCATTAGGAGACATTTGTCTTTACTAAATGAAATGTCAATCACTGCAGTAGATGTTGAACTCTCTCACTGAGTAAATGCAAAGTCTGACCTGCTGATGGAACTAGATGAACAATCAGGAGATCAAAGCCATGAGGGTTCATTCTCTGAAAGTCATTTCATTCCCTTCAATAGATGTTGAGGCACGTCAGAAAAAAACATACATTTTGACAATACATCAAAAGCCATGAGATAACCAAAATCAGCAGACTGAACACAGAAAGACTTCCATTATTATCTATACACCGCTTAATCCTCAGTAGGCTCACAGGGGGGTCTGGAGCTTATCCCAGTCGATTCAGCACCCCGGACAGGTCGCTAGTCCATCACAGGGCCACACAGAGAGATAAACAACCAAGCACACCCACACTCACCCCTACGGACAATTTAGAATCACCAATTAACCTCAACATGTCTTTGGAGTGTGTGGGAGGAAGCCGCAGCAGAAACGCTTTATGCATCACATATTTTGGAAAGGCCTGAATAACTGTGATAGGAAACCAAGGATTGAGTCACAGTGTCTCACAGTATCTAACACTCACTGGAACACACAATTACACACGCAAAATGTAGCGTTTGTCCCATTTACGTGAAACCACCGACGCTCTGACAGTGTAACAGACACACGCTCATTAAAAATAACAAATGACCCATTCACCCATCTGGTATCTGAACACACTCACATGGTCAGACTTGTCACAATATCACACATGTACATACATTCATGCATGAATATTAGCGCACATATGCAAGGACACACGGTACATGTCACATCATCTACATGCAAATGCAGACAAATGCACCCGCGCACAAAGATATAATGACGGCTTGCAGGTGTCATTATTCTGCATCTTCACAGAAGGAGGAACAATTACTGAAACATTGGTGACATTTCCAACATATCATTGGAATGTCAGATGAATCACTTCTATATAAAGCCATTTACAACCTCAGTCTGCAATGAACAGCTACTAATTAAAGCCTAATTCATGGAGGCACCCCTTGCCGATATGAACATGTAATGGATCCCAGCAGCAGAAATTTGGATCTGAAATGGGAAATGGGTGAATCATGTCACCTAGTTAGAAAGTTCACCACTACTGCTGCAGAGGAATCTCAGTTACTGGGGATTTGTCTTGTCGGTGGGTCTTTGAATAATTGATGTCGGAGGCTGAATATAGCTGCACGATCCATTTATCCTAAACATAGCAGAGCTGTCATTTACCTCAAACTGTCATTTCCCGACCGCTGTTTTCTCCTTCTCTTCCTAGGTAGCCGTCCATCTTTAATCATTGCTATCCCAGGCCATTTAGCTTTTCATTATAGACACAGTAGGAGGAAAAGGAGGCGAGCACAACACGACGATGCAACCTCTCACACACATACATGGGGACCGTCAATTTACAGGCGCACACAGAGACAAACAGCTTCTGTGTGATGTTGACAGCGACTGTGGCATTGCTGGGAAGAAAAATGAAATTAAATGAGAGTGAGAAAAATTTTGCGTCACCTGTTACTGTTTCCCATGGTTTCGGTGCGTCGCGTGTCTCCTGGCGGATTTAATACAACACACACCTGTAGGCGCACATCTGCGGAGCCCTATGGTCCATAATTATACCTGAATATGGAACAAACCACTGTTCCCAGTTGAAGTCATCAGCTATTGACAGCACTCAGGTTGATTTTAATTACACACCCTCGACATTTAGACAGCTCGGTACCTCCCTTCCTACAAACACACACGCATACACACACACAAATATACCGTTTCTTAACAATTCTGTCACATTGGCCTTGACTGTCTGCCCTTGAAAAATATCTTCGAGTGCATATATACTGTAGATGCCAGATACACATTTGTGGCAGGCAGTCAGCCAGTGACAAAGAATACCTGAAATTAAATATTGATGTGAAGCTAGAACCGAGACAGACTGTCAGACCTGACAATATTTTTTAACAAATGTGAAGCTAGAAGAATTAACAAAACTGATGGCATTGTACTTTTGATGCATGCAAAATGTTAAGTGTAAAAATGTTCAACTTACAGTTCATTAGGACTTCTGTAGGACTACCAGTGAAGAACACTGTGAGAGGAAATCACTAAAAGATGAAGTCTTGGTTAATATTAAATAAACTAAATAGTAAATGAGTTTACAACTGGATGCATTGCAGCAGAAATACATCTATTGACCGCATACTGCATATGTGTTGAACTGGAAGCTGCTGCAAGGACGCTCGGTCTATGAACAGAGGCGAGCCGAGCTAGAAGTCTCTGTTAAGCAACATTTCAGAACAGAAATCCACGAAGAATTCACAAAGAGAATAAAAATACAAAAAAGAATGAATGAGCATGTAAATGTTTCCACTTCAGGGCTGCAAGGTGGCTCG